AAAAGTAACTAACTTTTTTATTTCTAAATATATATAATTCTAAATTAAACTAAAATAAACTCTAATATACTAATACTAAGCTTAATCTAATCTAACTAATATCTTAATCTAAATATAACTAAAAATAATATAAAGTTTAAATAATTAATTTTTAAAAGCAGTCTTTACTCTTATTAACTTAATATAGTATATAATATATTAAAACTATAAATTATATATTAGATTATAATAGGCTTATATAAGAGAATAGCTATTCTTAAGATATAGTATTTATTTAAACTAATCTTAATTCTCTATAAGTACTTATAGTAATTACTAGTAGTAGGCTATATAGTAAAATAATAATCCGAGTAGATATAGCTACTAGACTTATATTATTAAAAGTAGCTTTATTACTATAAGCAGGCTCTTAATTAATTAAAGAGGTATATAATAAATATAGTTAGTAAATAGCTATATTAGATTATCTTAGATAATAGATATTATTATTTTAAGGGTTTTATTAATAATATTAAATAGATTCTAAGAGATTAGAATATTTATATTAGATATTATAACTATTTAAGGTATCTAGTAATTAATTAATTAAGTAATTAATTAATTAAGTAATTAATTAATAATATAATTTAATTAATTAATTAATTAAGATAAGTTCTAATAGAAAGAAAAGATAGTTACTATTATTAGATAATAAGCTTCTCCCTTAGGGGCTATAGCTATAGCCAGGCTATTTATATATCTAGCTATATAAATAGCTCCTATTATTAGAGTTTTTAAGGTATTAATATCTATATCTAGGCTAAAAGTATTTAATTTTAACTTTATCTTATAGTATTAAAGGTTTAGGTATAGATTACTAATTATATTCTTAAAAAATATATATTAAATTATATATTATCTGATCTTAGAATATACTTTTATTTATAGTAAAACTAATAAAAAAAAAATATATAGAAATCTATTAAATATTTAAAAAAATACTAATATTTAATTTACTAGTTTTATTAAAAGAAAAAAAAAAAAAGCTAAATTAAAAAAATTCTCTTTAAAATCTAATAAATTTAAATCTATTTTAAAAATAATCTCTAAGAACTAGACTTTTTTTAAAGTATATTATTTAGAAGTTTTAAGAAAGTTAAAAACTTAATTTAAAAATAGTTATTTTTCTTTATTAAGCTCTTAGAGATTATATTAAATTTCCTATTATATCTTACTCTTAATATATCTATATACTTTATAAATATACTAAATATACTCTAGAGTAGTATATAGATTATTTTAGAGTTAAGTTATTTATTAATATAAAAAAAAATCTTTTTATTTATATTAGATTCTTCTTTAGCTAGTTTTTTCTACTATATTATTAATTTTTTTATTAGAATAGAAATTAGAAAGATATAAATAAAAATATATAAGAAGATATATATAGTTAAATATAACTAATACTTTATTATAATAATAACTATTTTATATATACTTATTATATTAAGATAACTTTCTATTTAAAAGAATAAAATACTTTTTTTTTATTTTAAAATATAGAGTATATAGTATATTAACTAGAAGATTAAATATTTAAATAATAATAATAAGAAGAACTTATTTATAAATCTTAGAATATACTATTTTTTAAATATAGTTAAATATAATAAATATTATAATATAATTATTATATATAAAAAAAGAAAAAACTTATTAAAATTATATAGAATCTTAAAAATAAAATTAATAGAGAGAGAATATTATATTATAAATAAAGATCTTTATAATAGATTATATAATTATATATATTCTACTATCTAAAGAATAGAAATAATAGAAATATTATATTTCTATTATAGAATAAAGATAAATTACTAGAAATAATATACTTTTTATACTCTATAACTATTATATATATATATTTATTTCCTTAGATAGAATATTTCTTTAGATAGTTATTAATATAATTATCTATATATCTATTATTACTAGCTCTATAATACTTATATATTAATAATAGCTTATATTATATAGCTTAAGATAATCTAATTATACTACTTAGAATAATACTCTAATTAGTTTAATCCTAATCTACTCTAGACCCTATCTAGTATAAGTTATCTAACTATTATAATTATATATATATAATTAGAATAGCTAGTTCCTCTGAATATTACTATATTCAGTATAGGGAATATATAATATCCTTAGTAACCTTGGCCTATTCTTAATTTAAACTTAAGGGAGGGTTTATATAGGGACTTATAGTAGGTAAATAGATAGAATACTATAGTTAGATAAATATTAAAAAGGTTATAGTATATATAGGCAGGGTAACTGTATATTCTCAGTAGTATAGAGAGAATTAATAAAATCTCTAGAATTAGTCTATACTATAGGCTTCTTATATATTAGATCTATCTCTCTATAGCTGTTTGGAATTTTCTAATAGCTTAAAGATACTAGTATTAAAGGATTATATTATTAATAATAGCTGTAAATTATAAGATATAAGCTGTTATCTATATAAGTATAAAGAGTAATTCTTTTATAATAGTAGTCTGCTATAGAGGTTTAACTCCCCTGAGGATCTAGAGACTAATATTAAGAAGAATTTAAATATTAGAGTTATTATTTTAAAATAATATCTATCTACTATTTGGTAAATACTAAAATACTCTACTAGCCTAATTAAGAAGATATTAAGTATGCTTAGCTACTCTGAATTTTATAAACGAATTAGACTACTTCCTATTACCTCGCTATATGTACAGTATATAATAAATTCCTCCAAAACAACAAGGTCTTCAAAAGAAGTGAGGGGGGGGCTTCGGTTCTACCGTGTCAGATTTGTCGTCGAAGAAGATGGAGCGAAATGCTGAGCAGAATTTAGATATTTTTTCTGAACCCCAGAGTTCGCCAATGGAGGTGTGACATCAAGCTCCCGAAGATCTGCCGCATTATCAAGCTCCTCGGCGATATATGCTTCATCTGGAAGCGTTTGTTGAGTACCTCTGTTGTACCTTGTCTGGCTTAAGCCTACCATATCATCCTTGGATATATTTGGTTTGGTATCTTCTCGACCATCTTATAGAGTGACTGTCTCTTGTAATCATTGAGGTTAATTTTTGCGTTGGGCACAGTCTTGGAAGCTTTTTTGACCTATAATAATAATTTTAATAATTATTAAAGAATGGTGAAATACTAAAGCTATAAATTTACAGATAATTACTGCTTTTAATAATAATTTACAGTAGACCCTGTGATCTTTCCATAAGTGCCTAGAGTCTATATAATTACCTAATTGTATAATTAGCTTCAGCTATCTTATACTTTGTTGTTATGATTGGCTTTGAGCCCAACGTATGATCCTGGTTACCATGTATCAGGAGAATAGAACTTTATTTAGGACTGTTATTCTATTGGTGAAATATTTTCAGGGATGTCACCCGAAGCTGATGCTGATAATACTAGGTAATCTGCGGTAAGCCATAGGAATTGATAATTCATCAGGCTACTTACAATCTCATCAATAGAGGCCGGGAATAATGAGTCGCTGGCAGCGTTTATTCGTAATACCTGTTATGCCGACGCACAAGAAGATAAATGTCAAAATTACCCCGAAGACTAATCTTATCGCATCTACGTGTTAGCCGCTCTATTGTCCTGGTGAGATTCTCAGTTAAGCGATCTCTCTTAGCAGGTAACGGCTTTTGTTCCATAATTTTGTTTTCCTTGTGGGGAAGGATGAGTTATTTAGCAACTTGGTATCTTAGGGTTAAAATGCTAAATTTGATAGCTGCGAGGAAGGATAAGGGCGAGCTTGGGGGTATTTAACTTCGAGTCGGTGCCTGTAGTGGGCTGGGACCTGTTCTGGGGCCGTGGAGCTCCATGATCTTGGCACACATAGTCGTCCAAACCAGCCCCTGTTCCTACAGTGTGTGGTTTGGTAATCTTCCCACAGCTTTTCGAAGGCTGGTGGGTTACAGAGTCGTCTTGTGCATCTTGTCTTTCACCAATGAGATCAAAGATCTAGCCACATCACATCCACTAGATGGTTATAGTAGATGGTTATTAATGCTATCCCCAATCAAGATATGATACGCGACAGCGTCTCTTGAATTATTTTCTCTTGAATATATTCTCTTTACATCTCGTCATAAAATAGTCATCTTATAATCATCATCTTGGTTTCAACAACTATATTTCCATAGTCCAGAAAGTCTCGTTCCGAAAGGTCTGCTGGCGGGCCCCGTAGGGGTGCCGGTCTCCTGTGTAACACTTGGGATACCGCCACCTGCGCCACAACATCTGCGCCACCTCAAGCCATATCTCAATAGCCACAGATTAGACTTGGGGCCAAAATGCCTCGAGATCGGTGCCAATGCGGCTGAGCATTAGGCACCAATCGGGCATTCAGTGGACGGAATCCCCCTCCCCTCCTCCTCAGAACTAGTTTTAGTTCCTTAGCAAATATACTGTCACGGCTTCTCTATATTGCCTCCTTAGGATATTAGTGCCTCCCACTCAGCCGGCCAATACTTTCCACACTTTACTATACCACTATACAAGCCTCTGCCGGAGGGCAGTATACAGTTACTCCAGCTTTTGCCGCATTTAGATTAGCATCCACCAACTGGCGATTATGGTTATCTTGGAACAACGCCGACGCGAAGACAAGCAGCCGACACACTCGATCAGATTGGAATGAGCCAATATTGCAATGTCGACAATTTGCGATGCATGTCAGAAGATCTTTCAGACAGGGATCAGTCCTCTAGGTCTAGGACAAGCGCAACAGACTGGAGCAGGTGTCACATACTCGGACATCCGGCTACCCTTTGACACAAGAAATTTTCCTCATCATCTAACAGTCGATAGTCTATTGGCCGCTACCCGAGAAGAATGTTATATTTGCTTAATTCTTTTAAAGTTCCTATCAAACAAGTACGGCCTTACTGAGCTGCAGTCGCTCAAGTACAAAAAGTCTTTTACAACCTATAAGCATCATGGAAAGATCAACGCCGAGTCTCGACACCCATTCCACTTTGATATTAGCGTACATTACGAAACCGGCTATGGAGTATGGTTCAAGGCGCTTCCAGCCAGAGGTGGGCGAAGTCTCCTCTGTCCAGGGATATTTGAACGCATCGGCTCACATGACCAGGATTGACATTTTCCCCAGAGCTCCAGGGTCTTCCACTCAACACTGGCTCAGAAAGATCTTGGAAACAGTCTTTTGAATGGATTGAAGGGTGCATCAAATTTCACCGAAAATGCAATACAGTCGCAGAATCCCCACTCTGGTATCCGAGGCGTCTCATTGATCTTGGTTTGGGAGCTTCAGCGCACCTTCGTCTTATTGATACCGGTGCAACTCCTCCACTGGGTCAGTATATCACGCTGAGCTATTGCTGGGGTTCCGCTGCAACATTGAAGCTTACTAGCGAAACCTTGGGTGCATTCTTAACACGCCTACCGGAGCCAGAACTGCCTAAAACTTTCAGAGACACCATTGAGGTTACAACGCGTCTTGGGATCCGCTATCTCTGGATCGATTCCCTGTGCATTGTCCAAGACTCGGCCGAGGACTGGAGAGCAGAATCATCTATGATGGGCCGCGTTTACAAAAATGCTCTGTGCAACATCGCCGCCAGTGCGTCAGCAGACTGCCAAGGAGGACTCTTCTTTGATCGAGATCCTCACATGGTACGTCCCGCTGTCATCGTATCGCAGTGGAGTGACTGCCCTCCGTCCGCATATCAGATCTCAAAATTGCATGTTTGGGAAGATGGGGTTTCGGATGCCGTCCTCAATACCCGAGGCTGGGTTCTTCAAGAACGATTCTTAGCTCCAAGGATCATTCACTTTTCCTCCGACCAAATCTACTGGGAGTGTTTTGAACTCCAAGCTTGCGAGGCATTCCCAAAAGGCTTGCCATCCACGGTGCGCCGTCACGGCCTTACTCTTCCCATGAAAGAGTTGGGTTTTAGCAATGGTGGCAAAGAATTGAGGCCTTTTTGGCAGCAGCCTCCTCTTCCAATGTTTGACGGCTATCGCGTGTGGAAGCAAGTCGTGGAGATATACACTTGCACCCATCTAACCAAGTCAAAGGACAAGTTAGTTGCAATTTCCGCACTTGCCAAAGAAGCGCGTCAAGCCCTGAAAGATGACTATCTTGCTGGGCTTTGGAGGCGGCATCTCGGGTGGGAACTGGGATGGCGGGTTTCCGAAGAAGACAGCCACACCAGACCAAGTGACTATCGCTGTCCATCTTGGTCTTGGGCGTCGGTTGAGGGAAAGGTCTATGCCACAGATTACGGATCAGACGCGCATCTCTTTCTTAAGGTTCTCGAAGCCCAAATCACGCCGTTAGGCGACGACGACACTGGCGAGGTTGCTGATGGGTTTGTTCGGCTACAAGGCCCCATGTATGCCGTGTTGTTGATTCCCAAGAGCACTATGGGCCAGCCCGATGATAGATACGACGTGTACTTGTCCGACAGAACCACTGGCAGAGAGATATTGAGAAAGATGTGCGTTGCAACCAGCCTCGACGTCGACATGGCTGACACCACTAATACGACAGAGAAGAATTACTGCTTGCTGCAGTACTCCTCGGATATTGACATCTGGTGCCAGAACGGAAACGACGAGGAAGACTATTATTTGATGACGCTATTACTCAAATACGACGGTGTAAACAAGAATTATAGGCGCCAAGGAGTACTTCAGCTGATGTCATTCGAGTGGGGCCAGAGCTACCATGTTGGTAGTTCACCATCAACCCGAAGCCAGCGAGAAGGTAAGAGGGTCAGGGAACACCAAAGTTGGTACTCTGAAAATACTGTACTGACAATAACGGTGGTATATTCAGTGGCTAAGGGTCAACATCAGGCTTATCGAAACGGGGTTCAGGATCACAATCGCGATAGTGATGGGGTTAATCTATCCATTAGACGACAACCAGACGGAAGCCTTATCCGACGCCTTCGGGATCTCGAACGTTGCCATTACAACCCTGATATTCCGTGCGAAGCTTATGACGACGAGCTTGGATATATGATCACAATTGTCTAACTGACCTCTTTTAAAAGAAGGTTATAAGCAGTTGACTTATTGTTATTCTCCTATTTCGTGTAAGAAAGGTTAAAATGAAACCTATTTGTCCTACCTATAGTTCCCGAGTGCAGTAAAGTATTATTCTGGAAGGATGCAGTAATTATGGTATGCAATGAGAGAAGACGGGATGATCTACCTGGATTATTATTACGGACTAAGGTGCGAATCTGATTCTCTCAATATTATACCAGATGATAACGGCTTGGATGTATCCTAGTGTACTGCTTGTGATTAGCGCTATTGCAGCTGGTGCACCTGATTATAGGGCTACTGGAGTGAGAGCTTGGGGTATAGGGACTGATGGAGATGAAATTTCTAGTTCTGAATCTATATCTATATTATCCTATTTTAAGTAATTAATAATTATAGAGAATTAATTAATACTACTTCCTAAGGAAGATTCAGATTAAATAAATAATATAATAAAGGTAAAGAAATAAGATATAAAATAGTGTTAAATAATAATACTGTTGAACGCAGGTCTAAGCAGTGAGCCAGCGCCTGTATATAGCGTCTCAAACCGCAAGAGGCTAAAAACTAGTTATATACAGAGGCCAGCAGCCCCTGTAGTTACCTACTAAAGAGTATTATAATCGCCTATAAAGCTAGTGCCAGGTGCTTATACCTATATACTCTTCTTTCCTTCTTTGCCTTAAAGAGATATCTACAAGGATAACCCCCAAGGCGCTACCTACCTGGTATATAAATGCATATATAAGGTTTTACAAGATAGTGCTTACCAGCCTCAATCTTCTGCAAGACAAGTGCTTGTGTCGGGCTCTTTCTTTTACAAGGCAGGTATTTCTTTGCTTCTTAGGCTTGTTCCGAAAGGTATTAGCGGACCCCGTAGGGGACTGGTCTCCTGTCTCGCAGGGCAAGCTACTATATCCAGCTATAATACCAGATATAAATACTATACTATAAATACTATACTTTATAATAGGTATATATAGCTTAATACTAATATTAAGACCGAGGTAGCTTTATATAATAGCTAATCAGTTATTATTATTCTTTCTCTTTTAGTATAGCTATTAACTTATATTTTAATAAGTAAGTATTATAGAATACTAGCTATATATACTATAAACTCCTTAAGAACTCCAGGAGCTATTATATTAGTATAGAGATAAGTAAGTTATTTAGTAATACTAATAAATTATATACTCTGCTAGTAAGTAGAATTATACTTATCTTATTATCTTTAGACTTCTTATTTAGCAGAATAAAATTATATTTCTAATTCTTAATTTAAGCTATATAGATCTATATTCTATATATAACCCTGCTCTGGATTAAGATTAAAGTCTCTCTACTAGGATCTTTAATAAGGCTATAACTAAAGTACTTATAAATAGAAGCTTAGATAAACTATTATAAATAAAGAGATACCCCTGGTATTATATACTATACCCCTACTTTTTATACTAATAAGAGGAGGATTACTCTAGATTACTAGTAAGCCTATATAATCCCTAGTCTAACTTACTCTGGATTACTAATAAGCTCTTATAAACTACTTAGTATATATATATATTTATTTTACTAAATAGAATACTTTTTTAATAGTTATTAATATAATTATCTATATATCTATTATTACTAGCTTTATAATATTTATATATTAATAATAATTTATATTATATAGTTTAAAATAATCTAATTATACTATTTAGAATAATACTCTAATTAGTTTAATTTTAATTTATTCTAAATCTAATTTAATATAAATTATCTAATTATTATATATTAATAACTCTTATTTAGCTAATTATCTTATTTTAATTACTATATAATATTAAAAAAATAAAATAACTCTTATTAAATTATTAAATAATACTCTATAAGTTCTAATAATTTAAAAAATTATATAGTAGTTTATAATCTAAATTAAATAATTTAAGAAAAGAGAAATAAAGAATAAAGAGAAAATAATATAATTAACTCTCTTAAGATCTTTTTTAAATAATATTAATAAACTAGAAGAATTTAAAATCTAATTTTAAATATATTTTAAATTCTTTCTAATTAAATTAATAATAAATAAAAATAAAATTAGATTTATAGAAATATATCTTAATAGTATTATAGAATAATAGTTCTAGATCTATTTTAAAAACTAGTATAATAATAAAATTATATTAAACTTATAAAAATAAAAAACTATTAATATTCTTACTAATTATAAAAATCTTTAAATTATACTTATTTTAATATTTAGTTAAATAAATAAAGAATAATAAGCTATTAAAGATTTTAAAAATCTATACTAGATAGAACTAGTATTAGAATATATTACTAAGTTTAAAAAGATTTTAATCTAATTAGATTAGAATAATAACTCTTTTAAAACTATATTCTATAATAAATTTAAAAAAGAAATTAAAAATTAACTTTTTAAAATAAATAAATCTAAAAATCTATCTAAATATATAATAAATATTATATAAATTAATAACTATTTATATAAAAATTAATAATAAAAAGAGAATAAATATACTAATTAGAACTATATTAAAAATAAACTTAATTAAAAAGTATAATAAACTCTATTATTATTTATAGAATCTAGAATATATATAGATTCTATAGAGCTAGAAGCTATAGAAAAATATAAGTATTATTATTATTATTTACTCTAAGTACTAGATCTAGCTAGTTTTTAATCTCTCTATCTAATCTCTAATAAAAAAAAACCTTATATATAGAATAAAAATCTTATTTTACTTATTTTCTCTATAGCTTTATCTAGATACTAATATAGCTTCTAGTTTTCTATTTTTCTTTATTTATCTACTATATTTCTATTTTAGCTTTTATTTATTAATTAGTATAAATAGAATAGTTTTTAATTTATATCTATATAGAATATAATTTAGTTCTATTTTAGAATTAACTTTTTATAGCTAGCTTTAAATAATTAATTTAGAGAGTATTTTTTCTATTATTTAATTAATTAGTTTTATTTCTTATTTTCTAGTTTTAATTTTCTTTTTAGAAGTTATCTAAATAGAATTTCTTTATTATTTTTATTTTTTAATTTATTTAATCTATTTTCTATATATATTTAATATAGCTCTAGTTTAATTTCTTAGCTTTATATTTTTCTCTATTTAACTTTTTTAATTATAAATTAGAAAGATATAGTTATTATATTAGTTTAGATTAGTTATAATATAGATTTTTTATATATTTACTATTATTTATATAACTTTTTAATATTTAATATATTTTTCTTATAGATTTTTAAATTATTTAGATTATTTATATCTTTTTTTATATTTATAAATATCTTTCTTTCTTCTAACTTCTTTTTCTTTTTTTTTCTTTTTTTTTTATATAATTAAATAATTAAATAAGTTCTTTTCTTTCTCTATATTAATTTTAATATAAATAATATTTAAAGTAGATTTTATTCTATATTATTTCTATACTTTTTTTTATTTTATTTTACTTTTTACTCTTTATTATTATATAAATCTAATTTTTTTTTTTCTCTATTTTATTTCTAACTTAATCTCTAGTTTTTTCTAATTCTTACTATTTTAAAACTAGTTATTAATAATATATTAGTAATATAACTACTAATAGATATACTATCTATTATACTCTCTAGTTTAATAAATTTTCTATCTATTTCTAAATTAGTTCTATATTAATTCTATAATAGATCTTTAATTTAAGTTTTATTATAAATATTATAATTTTAAAACCTCTTATTTAAAGATAAGTTTATATCTAGTTTTAGTTTTTTCTAATTCTAATCTATATAATATTCTATTAATTATCTCTTTACTAAATATATAATTTACTTATAAATCTATATTATTAATATTACTTCTAATACTAAGGAATTTAATATATATTTTATATCTCTATTTAGTACTTTTTTATATTAGTTTTTATTCTAATCTAGATTATAATAAGCTTAGTAAAATATATTTATTTTAAAGATTATAATTTACTAACTTAATAAATCTATTTATATTTTTATCTCTAGTAGTATTTAGAATTATATTAGTATTATTACTCTTAGTAATTATATTAGTTCTACTTTAGTTTTATTTTAAACTCTATATAATAATAAGATTACTATTATTATTCTAGAGATTAAGAATAAGAAAAATTACTAATAGATAATTACTTTTAGTATTTAATTAAATATATTTAATTAAAATATTCTTAATTAGAACTAGCTTTTATATAAATTTCTAGCTCTTATAGCTATAATTATATTAGAATTAGTTTAGTTTATTTTTAATATTCTTATAGAAATACTTTCTTCTAGTAAAATATTTAATAAAAATAAAATTAAAAGTAATAATTCTAATAAATTTAAAGAGTATATTTCTAGTAGAATTATTACTAATTATAATATTAATATATCTAAAGAACTTTAAATTAATTTTTATTCTAGATTTACTTTAAATTTTAATTAGTTTTATAATTTAAAATCTTTAGTTTATATATTTAATATTAATATTCTATTCTTTTTTATTACTTTTATTTTTTTTTATACTTATTTAATTATATATAATAGTTTTATTATTATTTATATTAACTAGATCTAGATATTATCTAATATATTTTCTATTTATATATAAATTAGATTCTATTTAGAATCTTTATATATTTCTTCTAGTATATTTAGTTTCTTAATAAGTTTATATTATTTTAATATTCTAAGATTTAAAATTTATTTTATAATTTTTTATATATTTTATTTTTAATCTATTATAATATTAAAATTATATTAAATCTATATTAATTTTTTAGTATTTAGCTTAATTTATTAGGTTTTAAATCTAGAGTATTATAAGATAATATAATATATATTTTCCTTTATTATATAGTATAACTAAGTATATATAAATAGATATTAGATTAATATTAAATCTATATTATTTCTAATAAAAATTTCCTATAATAGTAAATATATATTATATTTATAGAGATAA